ATTACACACTCCTTTAGTGCTAAGTTGGTGATTTCATATCAGTATGCAAATTGATCAGAAATTTGCAAAGGGTGGAGGAAAGTCGAGTCAACAGTATTCCAGAAAAAAATCTTTGAATTTTTTGAGGACAGGTTCTACACAGTTGAAAATACAACTTGGTTTTTGTTTGTTTCCATGATAATCTTAGATTCTGTAATAAGGCACAGAAGGTAGGAAGATTCTGTACAGATTTCAGAAGAAAATGTTCATCTGTACAATAAAGCTTATTTATAGGTAATGGTGCTTTGTATAATAAGATCACCTTCATAAATAAAACTTCTAAATGCTTATTTTGGAAGTTGTTCAACTCTGAAAGAAGTTTAACAGATATATTTGTTAATTAAAAGTAAGTTTTCAGAAGACCATGTATAGCAAGAATGAATGCATGTGTAATTCCCCACAAGGTATAAACAATAATATTTAAAGAAACTTCTCAGATAAAATGAAAAATAGAGAAATCTGTGCATTGCTATCCCAATTTGGATCCAGAATTATTATGGTCTATTTGTTGACTCTTCAGTATATTTGAATGATGTTTCATACTTGCAGTAGGAAAGCTGTTTGATTATGATTCCAGCCCTTTGCTGACTTGAAGGCTGTATAACATCTACAATTCTAGTTCACCTGGGCCTAAGTCTTCCAACTTGTTTTCAGAACGCTTTGTTGCTGCACTAAATTGGAAAGAGTTTGTACTTTAGCACATGACAGAAAAGACTGTGATTCCAGGGTATGCAAGGTGGGTTTTTTTCTGTACATCAGTTAAATATCTTAATAGTTTCTTTTTATCTGTCAGCAAATTATGCACAAAGGAAGCAATTTGCAATTAATTAGGAGGACCTGTACAGTATACTAAATATGAAAAATAAGGAAAGATTGGAAATAAGAAATTACCTTAATGTGCAACATTCTGCTTCTAGTTCTACAGCTGATATCCATCACTTGATAAAAGTCAAGATCAGCTTCTTCGAAGGTTTTATTCTGTAACTGACAGGTTTTGTCTTCAAATTGTTAATATATTTAATCTGTAATTTAAAAATTAAAAATGACTACAGCTCTAAGACCTACTTACATATGATTTATTTCCACTGTTGCCTTGTTCTCCATTGGAATTTTGCAACTCTATCCCAGTGTCTACTTTTCCTGCTCACATATTGAATGCCTATTGTGCTTCTAGTTGGCTGTTGATTGCCTATCCCTCTTCTTGGTTTGTCCTTGCCATAAACTCATTACTAACTTTTTAGTTGCTGGGTGCTATTTTCTTTGGTCATTGGGTTGTGTTAGTATAAGAATTTTCACAGATTCTCTTACCACTTCAGTCCTATTTCCTTTTGTTCTTTGTTGGTCCCCTAATGTGCAGTTTTGAATTTTTGCTTTAGGTCATTCAAGCTGGTGTGGTCTTTCCTCAGTTTAGGCTATTTTTCCGTTGAATATGTTTGTCACTTTTCTCACTTGATGTCTGGAGCACTCCTTTGACTCAAATTTTACTCATTCTGCACAGATTCCTGCAGGTTTCATTGTCTTATACTTCTTGTCTTCCATTTCCACTGTTTATTCTTTTTGTGATATTTAGTCAGTAACAATGCTCAGGTGTTAAAATAGCTTGACACTGAAATTCCACAAGTGTATCCCTAGGATACCTCATCTCAATGATGTGTCTCTGAATACCTCAATAATTAAGTGGCTTAAATAAATTAAATAAGTGCTATAGAAATAAAATTAGTTAGCTGAGAAGACATTTCCCCTTTTTGGTCTCATGTCTTTTGTTCAAAAGTATATTTCCTTTGGGAATTGTGTGGAGCGCCTATATTTTTCTCCTTCCTTTGCTGGTTGAGTAGTAGTGTATAGAATTGAAAAAGCCAGAACTGATTCTGGATGTCATTGTTTTCAGCATGGTCAAGAGGAGTCTTTGGTGTCATTGTTTTCTGCATGGTCAAGAGAAGTCTTTGCTATGCTTTCGTCACCTGCCACTGCAGTTTGCAATTACACGTTTTAAATATTCATCTGTCCATCCTCAATCTGTGTTTAGTTAAAGGTTCCTTCTATTGTTACTGTTTTGTTTGGTGTTTGACTATATCCTTCCTTTTGTATTCTCTGCACCTGTTCACCTCTCTGTCCTTTTTTAAGTCTGTAATTTTAGAAACTCCCTATTCTAAAGCAGACGATCTTAACAAAAGATAGAGCTTAGTAACTAGATGACCCTTTTGAATTTAATATCTGTGAATTATATACAAAATGTATTCAGGCAGGATGCCATTCTTTTTACTTGGGTATTTTTCATGTACATGTGGAGTTCCTTTCTGAAATGGTGTACGAGAGCAAAGCAAATGTTGGGAAGGTGAAGAGGCTCTGAACACAAATTCTAGCACCTTACAAATGGTGCTAAGGCCTAGCCAGTCTTGGACACAGGCCCAGAGTTGTTTGTCTGCTGTACTCGTAGCATAATAATAAAAGGGTAAAATCATAAAATGTCATGCTATTTTTGTTAAATGCCATAAACCAAGGCAGCATCTATCTGCCACATGTACTTTCCCAGTAACTGCATTTCATTACCAAACCCATGAGCAAGGTTGATACCTTTGCTAATATCAGTCATGATGAATACTGAGTTTCAGAACTCTGAAGCTGCAAAACCACTGAAGTCCATACAGTTGTCAGCTGCACAAGTAAATAGTGTCTTGCACCTGGAAGATTATCCCATCATGAGCACAGCATCAGACAGCTAAAAAAATGGGTTTTGGGAGATGTCAGATCTGGTTTTAGACAGCACAACTGTGAAACATTCACCAACTATGTCCAATAGTATAGAACACCAGCTTGGTTTTATTGTTTCTTTCCACCAGAGCTAGTGTTGTGTATCAAACTATTTCTTAGCTCTTTGTTTAATCATCTTTATTAACAAAAAACTCAAGCAGTTTTGCTGCATGGGTAATAAGAATATAAATTAAATTAATACAAATGCATTTAATTTGAGGAAATACAAAACTAGTATTTGATCAAATGGCAGCAGGTTTGCAGCATGTGAACTGAGCAGAAGCATTGACATGTTCCACTCTCTGCTGAGATCTATGCTCAATGTTTCAGGTATCACAGTATCACACTATGTTAGAGATTGGAAGGGACCTCAAAAGATCATCTAGTCCAATCCCCCTGCCGGAGCAGGAACACCTAGATAAGGTTACACAGGAACGTGTCCAGGCGGGTGTTGAATGTCTCCAAAGAAGGAGATTCCACAACCTCCCTGGGCAGCCTGTTCCAGTGTTCCGTCACCCTCACTGAGAAGAAGTTTCTTCTCAAGTTTAAGTGGAACCTCTTGTGTTCCAGTTTGTACCCATTGCCCCTTGTCCTTTCATTGTTTGCCACTGAGAAGAGCCTGGCTCCATCCTTGTGACACTCCCCCTTTATATATTTATATACACTAATAAGGTCACCCCTCAGTCTCCTCTTCTCCAAACTATAGAGACCCAGCTCCCTCAGTCTTTCCTCATAAGGGAGATGTTCCACTCCCTTAATCATCTTAGTTGCCCTGCACTGGACTCTCTCCAGCAGGTCCCTGTCCTTCTTAAACTGAGGGGCCCAGAATTGGACACAATATTCCAGATGAGGTCTTCAGGTAACACTACACCATTTAATTGTGACTCTTCAGACATATTGGGTTCTAAAAGCTCAAAACCCAACTGCAGTATGGAAGAAAAATTGTCACTTGTGTTCTGTCTCTTTGGAAACATCTGAGGCTGTTGCTGGGCTGCAGTGGGATTCCATAGAGAGATACTCAAGGTATGTCCATCCCATCAGGTGTTCTAGTACACAAAGCCATGCCGTCCCAGCTGCAGCTCTGTAGCCATATTGGTGTAACACCAAATCCAAGACAATAATCCTGAGGGTGTCATTAGCTGAAGTGCGGTGTGGTAGAGGCAGAGCTATACTGCTCCTGGGTCTGGAGTTACTGTGATTTTTCCCTCCTTTTTTTTTTTTTTTTTTTTTTTTCTGCCTTCAGCAATCAATAAACTTGTCCCCTTTCTTTCTTGCTTAAAGGTAAAACTTTGGTTAGTTGGCCTGTCACGTTTCTTAGTGAGAGCTTTATATTCATACCTGAAGGTGGAGCTCCAAGCTCATCTTCTACTAAGCTGCACTAGTGTTACAGAGCAAGGAAAACCTTAAAAGACCACTTCTAAATACAATATCCAAATTGTAAAATTTTACAGAAGAAGATGTTTAAAGTTTTATAACAGAATGTTTTCAGTTTTCAAAATAATGAGAACTGATAGCAGTTTTATGGTTAAAAAAACATGTTCTTTGCTACCTTTGGTTGCTCAATCATCTCAGTGGAAGCAGTTTCTTCCCGTTCAGGTACCTTATTTTGCCTTATAAAATTTTAAGTCTTACTCAGGAAAAGGTAATAAGGTATATTTTTTCTTCGTTTTAATGTTTGCTCTATTATGAATGTTTAGTGTATTAAACATGAAGCTATAACTTGCTTCCTGATTAAAGGATGTGTCTTGAAATACATTTTTGCCTATGAAACTGATCTGATTTTCTGCTGTGAAATATTATAGATGCAGTAGACATCAAAGCCTGGATCACCTCTTTGCATTATATACATCCATCATTCAGCAGGAAGTAATTTCAGAATTCCCACTGTCCCAGTGAGCAGTGTGAACTAGCTCAGGTTTAATGGAGGGATATGGATTCTGTTATGAGAAGAACTAGTGCAACCACTGAATGAATGTTGTTAGTAATTGTTATGATTAGTTTAATTATTTCTTTCTGTGAGGGCTGAGAGAGCTGAATTTGGGTCATAATGTGGGAGTTTTCAGATGTTGTCACCTGTTGCAAGTATTCACTGAACATTTCCAGTTGCCTTTATTTTTTGTTATTGTTTAATCAGAAGAAATAAAAAGAAATACCTGTTTTTAATAGATGTTGCTGGAAGAACTTTAATTTTGCCTTGGTTTATTTTCTAGTGAGATTTTTTCCATTCAAATATAAAGACACGAATGCTGCAGTTGAAAGGAATCCTCTCTCTATACTGACTTCATCCATTCTTCTCCAGGAGAGTAATGGTGAAAATCAGATCTTGGTGTGCTTGGAAGAATGGAGGTGAGTAAATCACTGCTATTCATGAAGAACACCCTATGCATAGCCTTGGCAGTGCAGGTCCTGGTCAGAAAGATGCATTATTGGCTCCTTCAATGTTAATTCAATCTATTTATGTGTTATACTATAAACCAAAACAGTTTCTTCTGGGACAAGTGGATTTTTAAGAACAGACAGAGGATGCATTTTGAATTAATCAGGTTTCTTTGTGCAGTGCCTTTAATATAGTATGTTGATATTGCCCACTGACTGAATTATGCTGTCAAAAAATATGCATTCTTCTCAGGGTCTGGTTTAGTTACAGAAATGTCCTTGTATTAAATGGTACTACATTTATCTGGTTTAAGGACCACTTTTGTGTCCAGAATAAAAATTTATTGGAAGAAAATGAAGCTGTCCACTAGGCTTAGCTGCGTAGCAAGGAAAGGTTAACTTGAAAATAAGAGAAAAATAGATATAGTCAAAGTGGTAACTGAGAGAGGTAGAATAAAGGCCTGAATAGTTGCAAATGAAAGGAGAAGTGGAAAAAGGCTTAAAAATCCATTAGAACTAGGAAAGAATGTTTGTCATATTTTGCAGCACCAAATTATATTGGCAAATAAAGTAGGTTTTGTTATGTGATGTGCATGTAATGTGATCATTAGGCATTTGGACAATAAACAGTAAGAATGCTGGGAGCCATTAGTACTGACAATCTTAGTAGATTTTTTTTTTCTCTCTTTATTTAAAGTATTAAGCATTCTGATGATAACTGTTAACTGCTGCCTATGAGCCATTTATATTTATTGAGACAATGAGATTGTTCAAAGTCAGTGAAATGGTTTTCCTCAATTAGGACAGAATAAAATGGCTGGAATAAAAAAACCTGACCTCACAACTACACTTGTTCTGTCATGTGTCTTGTCTCTATATATGAGCTAAAGGTTTAAAGTTTAATCAAAACCCTCTGTGATAAGGTCCAACCCCTACTTGTGGATCAGGGGTCTTTAATAAACTTTCCCAAGTGTCTGCATCTGTTGTGAAGTCAAGCAAAAAACTACAGGGTTTTTTTTCAGAAACTTGAGGTTGCCTGGAGATATTGCAGAGACTACATATAACAAAATACGAGGGAAGGTAAAGAGCTTAAAATGGTAAGAGACTGGAAATTGAGGAGCTGACTTTTCAAGCAGACGAAAGGTGGGTAGGATGTTGTCAGAAGACACAAAAAAATCCCACTACCCTCTGGCATTAGTTTTATTTACAGTAGTTGTTCCAGTCTTTTGAACATCAGAAATAGAGCCTACCACACTGCTAGAAAGATGAAAAAGAGCTCTTGCTGTTTAAAGTTTTGAAGGGCACTAAGATTTCCTGAATGTCCATATGCATAAATTGACAGTGTAGTGAAACAAACTTAGATTCTTAGAACATGCACACAAAAAGTGCTTCTTCTGAAATTAGTGGCCAGTCTGGTTTTGAAAACAGGAGAGAAAATCTGGAATAATAAGAGTATGAGGGAATGGCTTCTCCCAACTAATCAGTGACAGCTTAATCACACAGCTGGAATGTGATGTAAAGTTTGTTTTCACAGGTATGTGGACTTGTTACTGACATGGCTTTGACATTAAAGAAAAAACAAATGGCACCCTGGTGCCAGTATTTTATTTTTTTCTTACTTTTTTTTAATATGGTTTGTATACATAAAGTGCACAGGAATGTGTATTTTACGTTGAATTGACATAGACAAAAATTTTCTGTGTCCACCCAAGGCTGTAATTGTAGGGAAGATTTTTGCCAAAGCAGTTTTGGTACTAGCATGGAGACTAGGAGTTAAAACTTGTCATCTCAGCTCTGTTTTCTTTCTTTCTTACCCTGTGTTTTGTCTTTAAGGACTTCTCTTTTACCATGCTTCACTTCAGTAGGACATAAAAATCAAGGCTTCTTGTATTTCTAGGAAGAAGATCCGGTATTTTCCCTTTTGCCACCTCTGGACCACAGGTTAGATGATTCCATCTTCGCTTTCCTCTGGTCTAAATTTCAGGTTGCAAAGCCTTGTGATTGTTGTCAAAACGATGCTGTCCTCTAGACACAAGATTCACCTAGTCCATCTACCCAACTAAATTCTTAATTTTGGACTATAACTTACATCAAAGGTATGGATATTAGGGGTTTGTGACCTGTGTTAAAATCCTAGAGACTGGTTAGGTCTGTTCTAATCTTTTAATGTTCTCTTATAGCTTTTCAAAGGGGCTGGGACAGGCAAATATATCACGCCGGTGTGCTTCATGCTGATAATGCCTGGAAGCAAATGTATGCTCTGGGTGCAAAGCCATGTCAAATCTGTCTTACGGGGCTGATGCTAGACTGTTAAAATGTCAATTTTACTCTTCCCCTGCAGAATAGATGTTTCTGAGGCACTTTTTGGAATGGATGTATTGATATATGGGTAGCTTCTGGGAAAGAGCAGAAACTCCAGAACTGCCATCAAATCAAAAGAGTTAAAAAAAAAAAAGAAAAAAAAAAAGTGTGGAGATCCTGAAAGCTAAGCCTACAAACCAGATGGGTGAGGGTGGGTGTGGGGCAGGGAGAAGAAGGAGGAGATGAGGAAGTGATTTATTAAAAACATATTGGAGATTTTTTTTTTTTCCCTCTCAAATAGATGTTCCCTTAGTTTCAGAGTGTGTGATATGGAGTATCTGAGTGGTTATAGGAATTTACATTCTGAATGTTTTTCCCCAAAAGAAGTTATAAACCCCAGGGTTACACTGTGTAGTCAGTTTGTCTCTTTCAGTTACTTTTTTGACCAAATTGAAATACGTGACATGATGGTGGTATTCCGCAGATTTACTGTATGTGCAAGCTTAAAGTGTGTGACTTCAACTGCATAGTATTGATCATGATGTAGAAAAGAAATTGAATGTTTTTTCTTAAATCTTGATCTGTAATTATTGAGTATTGTAGATTATCTGTACTGCTTTTTGAGAAGGTGAAATTCTGTTACTAGCTTGATGTATTCTGAATTGAACACTTAACTATGGTTATTGTTTGTGTCCATTTACATTGTGGTACAATTCCCTGTATGCTTTTTTTTTTTTTTTTTTTTTAATTTAATGTGCTTGGCCTGTAGCAATGCCATGTGGAATAAAAGTCACCATGATAACAACCAAACAATTAAGAATCTATTCCAAAGTCTGTAGAAGTCACCCAAATGATTCCCAGTCAGGACAGCTGGCATTGCATTATGCACCACCAAAATGAATACCTGTTGAAATAATTTCCCTTCAGAAGCCCTTATTCTATGATATGAAGTTATAATAATTTACAAAATCCTAGAATATGTGCAGTTCCTTTGGGTAAGTTTATGAACTAGTCTTTAAAATTTGATAGCAAAGAGATAAGTTATGCATCATTCATCTCTACAGTCTGCAAAACAGTCACTGCTGGGACCCCTTTTGCAGGAGCTGAACCCTATGAAATTCTGTGAAATTTTTCCATTTGTTGTATGCTTAATGAAAGACGACAGTAATTTTTGCTGATATCTTCCTGTTAAAACTTTTAGCCACAGACCATTGTTTTCTAATGACAAAAATAATTAACACTAAGACATGTTAATGGCTATGTTATCAGGTAATGGTGTCTTCATTAATGCATGGCTCTGATCTCTGCAATAACTATGTCAGTAGCTGCTGGTGGAAGGAATACTTAGGGAGGAGGGAATGCTTTGATATACGGATTGTCCAAATTCATTAACTGCATAAAACTCAATCGTGTCTACTTGATGGTGAGGTTACAACACAGGGCTTTAAAGGCCAGGCCTGAATTCCCATGAATTTACAGTAGAAACTCTCAGTCACATCTGTTTCAGTTTTCTATGTATATAGATTTTTTTTAATTCAAATGTCATAGAGCTGATCTATGGGGGTTTGTTTGAATATCTAGGGGGGTTATAGAGACTAATGTGCTAGAGTAAATTCTGTGTTTGGATTCTGAATTGAATTTTGTGTCAGCACCTTGTCTCGGCAGTGGCCTGAATCAGACTGCTAGATACTGGGCCCTAGAGATGAGCAGAAAGAATTATATCTAATCTGGTTGTGAATTCCAAATGGCAGAGGAATGACCTTTTTTTTTTTTTTTTTTTTTTTATAAAATGTAATTTTCCAGAATTGTCGTGGAGAGTGGGATGTAGAACTTAAAGGGATTTAGAGAAACTACTAAAGTTGTCAATGTACTAGTGGCTTTTAACAAGTTGATGTTGTTTATGACCTTTTGAACTCTATACATGTGTATGTATATAGTATATAGGTATGTATATAAGTATGTTTCTTCTAAAGAGAAGAAATGTTTTTGTGAAGCTACTTCTGGCTGGGAAAGCAACAGTATCTTATAAATCAAAGTACAAATAAGCCATACAAATCATATGCTATTAATTCTGTAGTTGACAGAGAGATACAAACCAGGGGAATCCTCATGTAACTAGTTTTGCTATTCTTCGTTTAGATCAATTTTTTGGTTGAGGGTCCTTATGTAGTTTTGCTCCTTTGCCTGTTTAACTTCCAGCTTTTGGCCATTCTCCTGTAAACTCTAGTTGTAATTTAAGCACTAAAATAAGAAGGAATTTTTGCTTGCCTTTGTATTACGCTTATGTATTAGGTATTTACTAAGCTGGAGCTGCATGACAGAATTTGCATAACTTTTCTTTAGCTGTAGGTATTTGTTTTCTAAATGAAATAGTCACAGTTTGCTACTTATAAATAACCACATTTCTGTTTCTGATGCTTAAACTGCATAAGTTTCCATAGTAAATACCTTTTTGATTGCAGTGTGAAGAATGTGTACAGGTGTCCAATAACTGTACTTTTGAGCATTTAATCAGAGATATGATATTCTAAAGCAGTGGCTTAAGGTGAAAGCAACAGTCCTTTCGGTTGGGGTTGGGTTTTTATGTCAATATGCAGCCTCCCTGCCTTAAGTAAAGAATTAGTGAGGTACTGAAGTATTCCGTCCTTTCACCCACTTTGCCTAAATATTTTC